TGTACAACTAAATCTAGAGTTCTACTGGACCGATTTTATTAATTATTGTGTCGTTGGAAAGCTTAATTCATGTAAATTTGCAAATAATTATGAAAGTTTGTTTTTGTTATGATTTATGGTGAAAAAAAAAATGTTTTTATAAGAAATACATCAAAAACTGTGTTTTTCACACGTTTTATTTGGGTGCGACTTTTGGCTACTTATTTTGAGTATTTCCAAAAAGTGCATGGTACCAATTTGTAGGAAATTCTATTCTCTTTCAGAATATCACCTTCCACTCTGGTGGATTTCCTCACCATTTAAAAGTTATTTGCTAAAAGGCTAAGCAACCTCTGAATTTATAGTAATGATAAAATACTGAGTAAGGGATATTTTCGTTAAACTTTGTACAATTAAATCTAGACTTCTACTAGACCGATTTGGTTAATTAATGGGTCATTGGAAAGCCTAATTCATGTAGATTTGCAAATAATTATGAAAGTGTGATTTTATCAAATATTTGTGGTGAAAGTTTCTTTTTTCAAGTTTCTGTTTTCAAGTTTCTATTTGTAGCCAGCTTTTGCCTGCCTTTATTAAGAATTTTCAAAAAATGCATGGTAGTTATTTGTAGTAAATTGTATTCTCTTTCAGAATATCACATCCACTTTGGTAGATTTTCCCTCCATTTAAAAGTTATTGGTAATAAGCTAAGTGATCTACAAATTTTAAGTGGTGAGAAAATACAAAATTGTTTTTTTAAACTTTGTACAACTAAATTGATTGTATAAATGATTGTATAAAGCATTGATTGTATAAATTCACTCCCACCCTTCATTGACGAAGGAACTGACGATGATGAGGGAAAAGAAAGTTGATATGTACTGTATTGTTTATGCCTTACTTAAGTGTTTTTTAACTGTAGGCTAATTAAACCTGTTGAGCATATATTTGCCTTTTCTTATAACTACCGATTACTTAATTTTTAATCCTTGTGGGTACTTATTTTCTTACTATTTTTGTAATTCAGTGTTCTTATTTTGCTTGTTAAACATTCACACAGGGTGTGTAAACAATAAATAAATAAAAAGTAATCATTTAGTAATATTTACTGAACAATTTGAAATGATGTGCTAAGTGAAGCATGGATTTAAATAGCTTCATTCGGTAACAACTTAAATTAAAATATATATTGTTATACATTTTTGGAAAGCTCATAAAATAGGTAAAAAATTTTGTTTCAAACACATTGACGTACGACCTACTGCAAAAACCAGGGTTTGACCTAATCTACAATTTTATGTAAAAAAAAATAATATTTTTTGTTATATCACAGATATAAACCCACCCAATAGAGATAATGCTACATGTAAGGTTATTTTATTAAAGTACATTTAAGGGGGAGTTCAAAGAAAAAATAATTATGCTGATAGCTTGTTTACATCAAAAGATATAGGTGATTTAGTAAAACACTACACTTTCAACCTGGTGTTTTGGGGGAGGGGGGGTTTTAAGGGGAAGCAAGGGGGGGAAATTCGGGGAACTTTCAGAAAACACCCTTCCTATCATACACTATCACCATGCAAAAAATCAGCTTTACATCTTTCATGTCTTTGTTGGCCTTGATTTTTAACTTAAGTTACTGGGCTATATGTAGTGAATGGGCAAATAAATAATTTTCTAGTTTATTTTGTTAATCAATTATGCAATATGACGAAAAATATAGTTCGCCACACGGGCAAAAAGAGTCACTTTAGGCTTTAGTGATGAAATACACTATCATTTAATTTGACAACATATTTTAGCTTTTGGAGCTCAATGTTCCGTTTTTCACTCCCCCAACCGCAGTTTTACACTCGCATTATCTCTATCTAAATAAGACAAGAGCAGTTAGATCCAAAGTTAGAGCACTAGTGAGGGGGAGGGGGAGGGGGTGTTATAACGTGTGGTCACAAAGCTTTATCCGAGATCACAGACAAAGCGTCTTTGTCCTCCAATCTCCGCAAAACTTGGCCTCCTGAGGCGATCCTCCCTCCAACTACTGCAAACTCCAAACTCCGAGGCTTACAAGGATAATAAGAATATGCCTACTTTCAACCTACGCCCATGCAGTGTCATTGAAGTTTATTTAAATAATATTCTGAAATTCTGTTGTCGTTTAAACTTCTGCACAACCAATATTAAATTGGAAAACCTGGAAAGGCCTATGTCAAAGAATTATATAACGTTAATCAATGTCTAAAAAAGTTATCAATACAAATAGGGTTAATAAAGTTATGAGGTGTATATAATTTGTAACAATTTCTAAACTTTGTGTGGACTTGAACCCTTCTAATATTAATTTTTAGTTAATTTTTTTGTGAGGAAACCTAAACAGATGCCCTTAAAACCATTTTTCTCTCGTATGAATCAAATTTACAAACTTGATTTTGTTTAAACATGGTAAAACGTTCAATGAATTTTATAAAAAGGAATTTACACTTAAATCATTTTTACTAATATTTTGGTTCCATTGTATGGCCATTTTAAAATTGCAAATGACTTACAGAAAGTTATACAAAATACTTTCTACTTAAACTATTACTTTTTCTTCCTACATTCTAGTGACAACGAGTATTCTCTTTCGCAAGACTGTTCACGTGTTATCGTGTTTAAGTTAGCATCTTTGAGAAATTCCTGTTTTATTTAATGGTTGAACCTATTGAATAGTCTTTCATGTGAATTTTAAACTATGCAAAATAGTTTCTCTTTTACCTTACATTCATTTGCTCATTTTTAGTTGTATTTAAATTTAAAAAAAATTAAAAATCCAAATTTGGGTTCATTTTTTAAAAATAAGTAAATTTTAAAATTAGTAGGATTTGATGTTTAAAATACATCGATGTCGTCAATGCAAAATATGCTATTCCAGTAAATCCTAGTTTGATATTAAAAGTATTGTGCTTAGTCACATTTTACCAGTATGTTATTATGACTAGTGGAGGTAGTTAAAGTGTGTATCATTTCTACCTTGGGACTTTACAATTAGGAATTAGAAGGTGATTATCAACATCATGGTGACTGATGATAGTGTATGACAAACCTGTTTTGATAATCAACTGTAGATGCACTACGAAACTCTCCAATTAGTTAATACAAATTTGGTTGGGTGAAACCCAAAATATCCTTGGATTGTTTTAAGATCATTTTCTTGCTTTTGCCATAATTAACCTTTTGGAGGTTCGGATAGCTAGTGTCAAGACATATTGACTACATTGTCTGTAAGCCGGACAACTTGTATAAAATGAGCAGGTAACAATAAATGATACGTCTAGTATTGATAACCACCACAGTAGTAAAATAAACATCCCGGTGGTTTCAACAAGTAATACAGTAATTTTCCTCTGTATCACCTCAATCATAATCGGTTTTGTGAACGTGTAACGTGAAATTGCAGCTAATATTTTTTTTTTTTTTCATTTTGATGCCCCCAGAAGCCGAAAACCCTTTTCGTTAGTGTGAGTTTATATATATACATATATATATTAATAATTGGAAACATTATAACAACATTAAGTACCCTTTTAAATTCATTTTAATTAAGAAACGACATGTTTCGACACTTAGGTCATAGTCATGTTTTTATACAAATACAATAACCTAGTTACTGTATAATTATTGTATTTGTATAAAAAACATTACAAACTATGCATAATTTGCCTTGTATCTGTAAATATGCTATATTTTTGTTTTTTTGTAATAATTAATAAGAACAATAGAAAATGACGGAGGATCAGTTGTAAAACTCCATTGTAAATAGATTCAAACATAAAAATTAAGCTGTTTGATAATCCATTTACAGGTAATTGAGAAATAGCTGTGTTTGAAAACATAAAATAATTCTTTGGGAAGCTAATTTTTGGACTTGAAACCTTTTATATGCATCATTACACTGCATTTACTTTGTACTTACGCCAAAAACATTTGTCTCACTGATGACCAGCCACCCTGTATATATATACAATAATAATAATATATAATATTATAGTATAGTAGTATGTGTGTGTGTGTGTGTTTTTTTTTTTTTTTTATGAACACGATATTTCGAGTTATTTTGGTCCGGCAGGAACGTAGTATAGCATAAACCAGAATGAGTTCGTGAACCAGCATGACCGGTTCATTAAATCGGGGTGTTATAGGGTTTTATCATTTTCAAAATTTCTTTTTTTCGTATCATTATAATGCCCAATGTACATTACAACCGTATTATGGAGCTTAAACAAACAAACAATATTGTACAGTACATTGAAGCATTGCCGTACGATTCAAGGTTACGTTGGTAATTCCAAAAAAGGTACGTTGAAAAGTCCTTTTTTATTCTTACAAGAAAAAGAAAACTGTTGTAGTTTGCTTTCTTTATGGATATATTTTGATAATATTTAGAAAATTTATTTTGTTGTCCTGTATCATTTACATTTGATCAAATCACTTTTTCCCTTCCTGAAGTAGAAACCCTAAGAACTCATTAAATCTAATTTTATTTAAATGGGCGATAATTCTGACATGTTTAAAGTTTGCTGTCCTTCTCGTTAGTAATGTACTCATTGAGCTAACGTTATGTATACTTTGGCATCAATCTGAGTCCAGTTATATTGAACATGTATTTATACAAGGCCCCTATAGAGAAGGAAGTCCCTGAAGATTCGATTAATTTGAGGATTTGTTTTGCTAGGGATATTTTGGTTTCCCTATACGTCATCGGTTTTGAGGGAGTATAAGTTCAACTGTTTCTATAATAATTTTGATAATTCATGTTTAAGTAACTTTATCTCGGAAACATATAGGTTCATTCAAATGGTTAGGAACGTGTATGAGCGTGTGATTTCAAAAGTTTCAACTCACAACATGTACATACACGTAAACATATTTGGGATGAAGAAAATGACATGGAAAATAGTGGAAGCCAGTGTCCACTATCAGCTTGTGTAGACCTGTGGTAGAGTGTACCCAGAGATCAAAGGTCTGGGGATACCCAGGACCTAGAGCACGCAGTACACCTCTGCCGCAGTAGACCAGTAGTCCAGTAGACGCAGCCACAGCACCATCACCATGTCCACACTCCTCGCAGTCACGCTGGCCTTGGTCACAGTCAACAATGTCCTCGCCATCACACAAGTCAACGAATGTTCAGGTAATCCTCCTGCATCTATTGTTACCGGTGATCAAACTAAATTATACTCCGTGTTTATTATTATTTCTACGTTTTACCACGAAATGAGTCGATCTGTAGAGCTAGAGCATCGCAACTGATGAAATATCAATGAATCTAGTTTCGTTGAGGGTGATATTTTGTGTTCATCAATTTTATATCATGCATTTCCTATTTTAAAATTCTTTAGGGAGGTGTTTTTGTATGTTTATTGCAAGTTGAACTAATTTGGCTGGCTTTAACTTATTAGTATATTTTTACTACTTATAAAAACGTATTCATTGCAAGTTATGAAATTCTAGGAGACTATTTTTTCTTCTATCAGCATTATTCTACATCGCTATTATGTATGCGTAAGTTCAATTTCTGTGAACCAAACGGTATCATATGAAGAACAACATCTTAAGTACAAAATAAATTTTATTTCTGTTTTTGTTGATTGTTAAATTATAAAAGTTTACGTCTTCTTTACTTGTTAATACGTCCTGAAAATAGGTTAAAATAGTCTACAAAGTATTGAAAAAAACTTTACTAAACCATTAATAGTTTTTGTTTCTGTTATGATTATTAAAATGTAAAATGCACATCGTAAACCACCTTTTGTTAAATAAACATAAAACTTATGACAATTGATCAGTTTGTCAAAGTGATAAAATATATGCAATTCACAACAAATTATAAAACCTCCTGATTTATACAAAATCTGTTTCCAATGTTTTTAATCAAGTGTTTAAAGCTTTACATATGTTTATTGTGGAAATTGGGGTAGTCTAGTCAATATATTCATAATTGTGAGTAATTGGATTTCATACAAGTCGTTTTTCTCATTTAATTTCGTACTTTGGCCTATACACAATGTATAAAACAGTAATTTTTATCAGTTTCCTTATTTTTATATCCGCAGTCATACGTTAACAAATAGTTACTGTACGGCTACTGGCATATTAGTGGAGAGCCTGCAATTCCAACAACCTACAAATTATTACCTACAACTGTAATACTGTGTGTTTATCACATCATTCTGACCATAGGGCGTTATTAAAAACGCATTAGTAATACGCTCTTGTACGTAACAAAAGAACAATGCAGCTATAAAAAATTATCAGTTTCTTGTTGGCTGAATTCAGGTATAATCACTAATCAGGTTAATATTACGATAACAACAAATGTCAAAGTTACTACCCAGAATTGTTTTAGTTAACGTGATGGTTTCGTGATTTACCATTTAGACATTTTGAATTGTTTATATACTTCTTTTCCTATACATTTCGGTTTATATGTTTATTACTAGGTTCGTATCATTGAAAACCTTAATATGTTTTTAATTAGCTATGATTTTAAATCAAATTCAATTATAATTTCAATTTCTAGAGTCAAAGTTAGAGCCACGTGATTTGTTTACACTTAAATAAATATCATTGGTCAAATATTATAGAAAATCAAAATCACCAGCCGTGGCTTGCGATCTAAGTACATTTTTGTGCAGCTAAAAATTGGGATACTATAAAAAATGTATCGATGTTCAGGGTTGTTTACTGTAATTTGCACTTCATAAGTTTATCAAATAAATGTATCTGTGGTGGGGATTTAAAACTACCCACGTTTCTGTTTAGGGCCTAACCTCCTGTGCGCGATCATACATGTTGAGGAGGAAGGCTGTGTTATCATGTTTGATCAAGTCAAGTAACAGGTGATAACATACATTGTTTGAACACATGTTTTTTATTCACGTTTGGTATTTAATTATCTATGTTTTATCACATTTGAATATTTTATTGTCTATTGAAAATAATGATCTAATATGAAATAAATTTGTTGAGCTCTACCAAGTACAGTGTTGACATTTGAAATTGAGTTCTTTAGAGAGCGGTCCATACAGGACGTACAGATTATTTTGAACAAAATCATGTTCGGATTGGCGTTTATGAAAGACCAATTTTAATATGAAAACAGTTTACAGAAAATAGTAGAGCACTAGGGTAGGTATTGGTAGTGCTATTACATTAATTGACCTCTGTCCAAAAGTTTATGAGCAATATTTACTTGTAATCTGTCACTTTTGATTTTGTTTAAAGAGTACATTCAAAATGTGTACCTCGAACTGCCACAAATAATACAACACGGGTGTTTCTGTAGGCCATAGCAGTGGCAAGCGGCTAGAAGTGAACATACACGGCTGTGAGGCGCCTCCCTGCGTCCTCAAGAAGAACACCAACGCGACTGTGGAGATCAGATTTGTACCTGGTAAGTTCATTAATCATTACTAAACGGCCCAGTGCGTAATAAAGAGTTTGTATTACGGTATTTTCGCACTCGTAGTACGGGACTTCTACTTTAAAAATAAATATAGTATATAGGTAGCATTATACATTAGTAATTAACATTTAGGCTATTTATACATTTATTATTTGTAAATAACCCTTTTCTAGAATCAGCGTGCATCTGTTATCTAAACTTAAAAGTATATAATTTACATTTGAAGAACTACAGGTATCAGAGCCTTTACAATATTTGGACTTTAAGTTAAAGGTCTTTATTGAAAATATCTGCTGACCGATACTTTTCTTCGGGAGTTAGTATCTTCTAAGACTAATCATTAATCAACGGTTTTTATCAAAATATGTTTAATAATATAAATTAGTATCTCATAGTTGGATTGTAATACTTTTAATACTTTGTGAGAGCTCGCCCCGTGGTCGAAAACTCGACCAAAAGTATGTATTGTGCAAACTTCTCTATTTTCACTCCGCGCTGTAAATAATACATGTTATTGGAATTTCTTCCATTTGTTTTGATTTTCTGTTTATATTTTGTTGTTTTCGTCACCAACATGGCAACCCATAAGGTCCATGTTAATTTTTTTTTTTTTAATTTTTGAGCTATTTCTGAGCCTATCTTAATTTATAAAGGGCACATCTACACGAAAATATCTTTCATTTGGGACCAACCGCGTGTAATTCGATCCAGTAGTATACGACCAGGCTAGCTGTTTTTCAACAGTTTTTTTTCGTATGATAAGAAAATTCTGAAATGGCGATTATACAAATAGCTATTCATCTGATCAGCTCCTTTATTTCTTTTTTTTACAATGTCGTTGTTATTTTGTATTACCGATATGGTGATCCATGGTTATTTCACAATATTTCACATTGACCTTACACTATTAACATGGTCCTTTGTCAATAAGAATTTAATATTTTCTATTTTACTTTTTCAATTAGTCTAGATATGCTGCTATCGTAGTTTGGTACAATTTGCTACATGTCGGTACAATTTACCGGTGTGGTGATTTAAATTTACAGCAGAATTAAATCAAATAATTGTTGGGCACAAAAAAATGTCTATAGCTATTGTTTTACAAATCAATATGCAATTGCTCTTCTGTGCGTCTTTCATAGCGGATCCGTGGTAAAGTAACCTTGATATCGGTTCCTCATTCTCCTGTAATGGGTTCCAAGGGCGTGACGAAGTTATTGTTTGTTCAGCCAAACATCTTCAAACAAGCAACACCACCTCATCACCCTACTGTACGAGGAAATTTGTCACTAAAAGGAACAAACAGCGATATTTCCTTGTTGATTATTGTCAGTTTCAATAAAAAATACAATCTTTAGTAAATGTAAAAGCAAGAATAGAAACAAAACTAACCCAGATATCTTGTGGACCTATTTAAAAACTCTGAAGTAAATTACAGACAAAAAAACCTGTTGATGAACTAAAACTTTCTCGGTGATTCTGCAGACATTGAATAATAGGGTTAAGTAATCTGAAAGCTATCCTAGATGTTGAAGTACCTAGTCAAATTACTGACGGCATTTTAGTTTATTGAAGGCAATTGAGTAGTAACGTTATATTTCTCGTAAAAGAACACGTTCACACCATGTACTGCTGCTGAACCATATTATATACTATAGGAATTGATTGTACGATAGCATTTGGATAGTGATAGTGAGATTGTCTTGTTACAGGTCATGTAGAAATATTGTCTTATTTATAAACAATCCATCTGCAGTTTTATTAACGATATGAAAATAACTATCTATTCTAGCGCAAAATAGTCTAACTAACCTCTGCAGATGTGTACAAATTGTTATTTTCATTTGTTTAATGAGGATTGAATCCAATAGATTCATCACATACTGTGCCAAATATGTTGTGTCTGATTGTTTCATTGTTATCTATATTAAATAATCTGTTTACAAAATTAAAAATTTTTAATCAAGATATAAAGAAGTATTTTTTATTTTTATTTTTTAATAGTTATCCCAGGCTCAATAATGAGTGATAAGGTACACAATTGAGGAATGAAATGTTTATGGAAATGGTTATTTTAATGAAAACGAGTGTTTATTTAAGCAAGGCAAACTCCATATTGAGTTTCAGCTCTGGGGAAATCGGGTAAAAGTTGTCAGAATCTATAACAGAGGAGTCCCAACTTGTTGAATGCATTATAAGGATTCTCAGGGGATCCTTACTTTTACATTTTGAAATTTTGTGTTTTTAACAAAATGTCTTGATAATTTTAGAATAATAAATTTTCTATTTCGATCCATAGTCATTTACTTATAATGAAAAACATTGGTTGGATTTAATTCACTGTTGATTTAATAGTTTCTCTTCTTGCTCATTACCTATATATTATGTGTTGCTAAATTTAAAAGTTACCAAACAAATTGTTTCTGAAAAATTAATCCTTATTTACAATAAAAAAATTTCTTTTTAATGTACTTTTTTTATAGTTTATAAAATATTTTTTTTGTCGTCTTTTAACTAGATTAATAACTGGATTGATTGATGCACTTTTATATAATGATCATTTTGATGTATACAACAGGAAATTGATTTGGGTACTGTATAAAGTTTCAAAGATATGAGACAGAGACAGTAAAATATCGGTCATAAAATAATTACAACAACAAACACTAAGAAAGTAGAAAAATATATATGTAATAGAATTCATAACAAGAGTAGGAAATGAGTCATTACATTTGAGACAATATAATTGAAGTGCATGAGCACTTTGTATAATATGGTCAAGAATATGTAATTACCCTCTTTTACTCTTTTATTTAACGTTACTTTTTGCTACTTTATTTACAAATAAACATTGTAATATATCTTTAATCGAAATAGTTAGGAAGCAATCGTTTGTATCAAACAGTTTAGCATTTCTTAGGTTATGCCTCCTATTTTAAGTTTAAGTTTACATTAAATACAATTTTGGTTGTTGCAAATTGAAACAGTTGATGAAATAATAACAAATTAATGTATGATTGTTTTTGTCAGCAAAATCCAAAAAAGATGGTCAACGTTACTTTTGCATAGTAAACATTCTTTATGCGTAATAGCACAGATAATATAACCCCTTCTGTGGTAATAGACAATGTAATGATGAATGTTCACAGGTGACAAACATGTAACAAAAACAGACTTTTCACATTAGGTAGCGAAAAAGTACTTTACAAATAAATGGAAATTAAGAAAAGAATCTACTTACAATGTGCAATCAATCTGTATATTCTCTAGTCAGAGTTTGAATACAATTTATGCAATATAAATCTCTCTCAGCAAAGTAGAAATAAACCAATCAACACACAATGTGCAATCACTCGATAGATTCTCTAGTCAGAGTTTAACACACTTCATGCAACATTGCACTCTTCAGTGATGTGCAAGTAAACCAATCAACACACAATGTGCAATCACTCTATAGATTCTATAGTCAGAGTTTAACACACTTTATGCAACATAGCACTCCTTCAGTGATGTGGAAGTAAACCAATCAACACACAATGTGCAATCACTCTATAGATTCTATAGTCAGAGTTTAACACACTTTATGCAACATAGCACTCCTTCAGTGATGTGGAAGTAAACCAATCAACACACAATGTGCAATCAATCTATAGATTCTATAGTCAGAGTTTAACACACTTTATGCAACATAGCACTCCTTCAGTGATGTGGAAGTAAACCAATCAACACACAATGTGCAATCAATCTATAGATTCTATAGTCAGAGTTTAACACACTTTATGCAACATAGCACTCCTTCAGTGATGTGGAAGTAAACCAATCAACACACAATGTGCAATCACTCTATAGATTCTATAGTCAGAGTTTAACACACTTTATGCAACATAGCACTCCTTCAGTAATGTAGAAGTAAACCAATCAACACACAATGTGCAATCACTCTATACATTCTCTAGTCATAGTTTAACACACTTTATGCAACATAGCACTCCTTCAGTGATGTGGAAGTAAACCAATCAACACACAATGTGCAATCACTCTATAGATTCTCTAGTTAGAGTTTAACACACTTTATGCAACATAGCACTCCTTCAGTGATGTGGAAGTAAACCAATCAACACACAATGTACAATCACTCTATAGATTCTCTAGTCATAGTTTAACACACTTTATGCAACATAGCACTCCTTCAGTGATGTGGAAGTAAACCAATCAACACACAATGTGCAATCACTCTATAGATTCTATAGTCAGAGTTTAACACACTTTAAGCAACATAGCACTCCTTCAGTGATGTGGAAGTAAACCAATCAACACACAATGTGCAATCACTCTATAGATTCTCTAGTCAGAGTTTAACACACTTTATGCAACATAGCACTCCTTCAGTGATGTGGAAGTAAACCAATCAACACACAATGTGCAATCACTCTATAGATTCTATAGTCAGAGTTTAACACACTTTATGCAACATAGCACTCCTTCAGTGATGTGGAAGTAAACCAATCAACACACAATGTGCAATCAATCTATAGATTCTATAGTCAGAGTTTAACACACTTTATGCAACATAGCACTCCTTCAGTGATGTGGAAGTAAACCAATCAACACACAATGTGCAATCACTGTATAGATTCTATAGTCAGAGTTTAACACACTTTATGCAACATAGCACTCCTTCAGTGATGTGGAAGTAAACCAATCAACACACAATGTGCAATCACTCTATAGATTCTCTAGTTAGAGTTTAACACACTTTATGCAACATACCACTCCTTCAGTGATGGGGAAGTAAACCAATCAACACACAACGTGCAATCACTCTATACATTCTCTAGTTAGAGTTTAACACACTTCATGCAACATAGCACTCCTTCAGTGATGTAACAGTAAACCAATCAACACACAACGTGCAATCACTCTATACATTCTCTAGTTAGAGTTTAACACACTTTATGCAACATAGCACTCCTTCAGTGATGTGGAAGTAAACCAATCAACACACAATGTACAATCACTCTATACATTCTCTAGTCAGAGTTTAACACACTTTATGCAACATAGCACTCCTTCAGTGATGTGGAAGTAAACAAATCAACACACAATGTACAATCACTCTATAGATTCTATAGTCAGAGTTTAACACACTTTATGCAACATAGCACTCCTTCAGTGATGTGGACGTAAACCAATCAACACACAATGTGCAATCACTGTATAGATTCTATAGTCAGAGTTTAACACACTTTATGCAACATAGCACTCCTTCAGTGATGTGGAAGTAAACCAATCAATACACAATGTGCAATCACTCTATACGTTCTATAGTCAGAGTTTAACACACTTTATGCAACATAGCACTCCTTCAGTGATGTGGAAGTAAACCAATCAACACACAATGTGCAATCACTCTATAGATTCTATAGTCAGAGTTTAACACACTTTATGCAACATAGCACTCCTTCAGTGATGTGGAAGTAAACCAATCAACACACAATGTGCAATCACTCTATAGATTCTCTAGTTAGAGTTTAACACACTTTATGCAACATAGCACTCCTTCAGTGATGTGGAAGTAAACCAAACAACACACAATGTACAATCACTCTATACATTCTCTAGTCAGAGTTTAACACACTTTATGCAACATAGCACTCCTTCAGTGATGTGGAAGTAAACCAATCAACACACAACGTGCAATCACTCTATACATTCTCTAGTTAGAGTTTAACACACTTTATGCAACATACCACTCCTTCAGTGATGTGGAAGTAAACCAATCAACACACAACGTACAATCACTCTATACATTCTCTAGTCAGAGTTTAACATACTTTATGCAACATAGCACTCCTTCAGTGATGTGGAAGTAAACCAATCAACACACAACGTGCAATCACTCTATACATTCTCTACTTAGAGTTTAACACACTTTATGCAACATAGCACTCCTTCAGTGATGTGGAAGTAAACCAATCAACACACAACGTGCAATCACTCTATACATTCTCTAGTCAGAGTTTAACACACTTTATGCAACATAGCACTCCTTCAGTGATGTGGAAGTAAACCAATCAACACACAATGTGCAATCACTCTATAGATTCTATAGTCAGAGTTTAACACACTTTAAGCAACATAGCACTCCTTCAGTGATGTGGAAGTAAACCAATCAACACACAATGTGCAATCACTCTATGGATTCTCTAGTCAGAGTTTAACACACTTTATGCAACATAGCACTCCTTCAGTGATGTGGAAGTAAACCAATCAACACACAATGTGCAATCACTCTATAGATTCTATAGTCAGAGTTTAACACACTTTATGCAACATAGCACTCCTTCAGTGATGTGGAAGTAAACCAATCAACACACAATGTGCAATCAATCTATAGATTCTATAGTCAGAGTTTAACACACTTTATGCAACATAGCACTCCTTCAGTGATGTGGAAGTAAACCAATCAACACACAATGTGCAATCACTGTATAGATTCTATAGTCAGAGTTTAACACACTTTATGCAACATAGCACTCCTTCAGTGATGTGGAAGTAAACCAATCAACACACAATGTGCAATCACTCTATAGATTCTCTAGTTAGAGTTTAACACACTTTATGCAACATACCACTCCTTCAGTGATGGGGAAGTAAACCAATCAACACACAACGTGCAATCACTCTATACATTCTCTAGTTAGAGTTTAACACACTTCATGCAACATAGCACTCCTTCAGTGATGTAACAGTAAACCAATCAACACACAACGTGCAATCACTCTATACATTCTCTAGTTAGAGTTTAACACACTTTATGCAACATAGCACTCCTTCAGTGATGTGGAAGTAAACCAATCAACACACAATGTACAATCACTCTATACATTCTCTAGTCAGAGTTTAACACACTTTATGCAACATAGCACTCCTTCAGTGATGTGGAAGTAAACAAATCAACACACAATGTACAATCACTCTATAGATTCTATAGTCAGAGTTTAACACACTTTATGCAACATAGCACTCCTTCAGTGATGTGGAAGTAAACCAATCAACACACAATGTGCAATCACTGTATAGATTCTATAGTCAGAGTTTAACACACTTTATGCAACATAGCACTCCTTCAGTGATGTAGAAGTAAACCAATCAATACACAATGTGCAATCACTCTATACGTTCTATAGTCAGAGTTTAACACACTTTATGCAACATAGCACTCCTTCAGTGATGTGGAAGTAAACCAATCAACACACAATGTGCAATCACTCTATAGATTCTATAGTCAGAGTTTAACACTTTATGCAACATAGCACTCCTTCAGTGATGTGGAAGTAAACCAATCAACACACAATGTGCAATCACTCTATAGATTCTCTAGTTAGAGTTTAACACACTTTATGCAACATAGCACTCCTTCAGTGATGTGGAAGTAAACCAATCAACACACAATGTACAATCACTCTATACATTCTCTAGTCAGAGTTTAACACACTTTATGCAACATAGCACTCCTTCAGTGATGTGGAAGTAAACCAATCAACACACAACGTGCAATCACTCTATACATTCTCTAGTTAGAGTTTAACACACTTTATGCAACATACCACTCCTTCAGTGATGTGGAAGTAAACCAATCAACACACAACGTACAATCACTCTATACATTCTCTAGTCAGAGTTTAACATACTTTATGCAACATAGCACTCCTTCAGTGATGTGGAAGTAAACCAATCAACACACAACGTGCAATCACTCTATACATTCTCTACTTAGAGTTTAACACACTTTATGCAACATAGCACTCCTTCAGTGATGTGGAAGTAAACCAATCAACACACAACGTGCAATCACTCTATACATTCTCTAGTTAGAGTTTAACACACTTTATGCAACATAGCACTCCTTCAGTGATGTGGAAGTAAACCAATCAACACACAATGTGCAATCACTCTATAGATTATCTAGTTAGAGTTTAACACACTTTATGCAACATAGCACTCCTTCAGTGATGTGGAAGTAAACCAATCAACACACAATGTACAATCAGTCTATACATTCTATAGTCAGAGTTTAACACACTTTATGCAACATAGCACTCCTTCAGTGATGTGGAAGTAAACTAATCAACACACAATAAACAATCACTCTACAGATTCTCTAGTTAGAGTTGAACACACTTTATGCAACATAGCACTCCTTCAGTGATGTGGAAGTAAATTAATCAACACACAATCACCTCACTACTGTATCTTGAGCTAAAGCCCCCCCCCCCTCATGTTTGTACTGATATCTGATAGTTTCTGTTTTTTTCTAAAACGTCCTTTAAAATAATATAAAAATATTTTATAGGTCATAATATAAATATAAAATATATAAGTTATAAATATTTGAATTACTATTGTTCAAAGTTGTAAAAGTTTTAAATTACATTTTATTTCACCTATACTTTAAGTGTTTATGATTTCTATGGTCCATCATATGAAATTATATCTGTTATATAAGGCACAAGATATTATCAAAGCACAAATCACATTTCCTTGACACACAAAATAATGTGTCACACTTCTTAATAAGTGGTGCTGTCAATATAGTATGTTATATCAAAAGTGATTAAAATTAATGTATTACAAGTGCAAAATAATTATGTACTCATACTAACACTAATGTATTTTCCAGTCCAAAAAGTAGAAAAGCTGGTGAACAGAGTGTTTGCAAGGGTGATCTTCCCTCTGCCATTCGTTGGTGTGGATGGTGAGTCGTCGTGTGACAGCATCTACCTGCCTACTGGAGGCAAGGCTGGGTGCCCTGTGGATGCTGGGACTGAGTATCTCTACAAACAGTCGTTTGAAATACACTCCTACTATCCATCGGTCAGTCTTTCATAGTGGAACCTTGATAACAAGACCATCAATAACAAGTCTCCCTTTATTAGTCCAGTAAATCTGTTAGAAAAAATGGGTTTGCTGTGCAAAAGGTCGGGTAGTTCTGATTTTTGGATATGTTGTTAGTATTGGGCCCATAACATAAAATCCAAGTTATCCACCTCGAGATACTGCCGCTCGCCGCGGGGCGCGCCACTTGTTATCGAAATATCAAAACTATGACAATTCCTATTGTTTTTCACTCAATCTTGCGAACCGTTAAATTTATCGAAAATTTTATATTATTACATTAAAGAAGAATAAATTTGTGACAGTTTAAGCCCAACAGCAAGTATGTAGCGTAAATAATGGTCAAAATACAGACCATCAAAATAAATAAATTTTCCAAATACGAATAAAAATTGTGGTTTTTTTCAATATTTCCACAATATAGTTTTTTGTAGCAAACACCGTATTGATTTCTGAGAGTATGCCAGTTTATTTGCTATTAATAGAAAATAAATGAAAGTATGAATGAAAATACCCCCACCTCAGCAAACCTGCAGACTAAGCGAATTTCCATTTGCTTGATTTGATTTTTACAAACCTATTTAAATAACATTAGGTTTAACTGGTACCTAGGTTTGCTGCTATAGGGAGGGTAATATATTATATAAAATAATAATAGTATGATAAGAAACAAATAAATTTACCCAATTTTATAAAAATGTGTCTATAAATAAGGAAAAAACAATAATTAAAAATCTTCGCTATTGTAATAACTTGAGGTTTTTACATTTACATTTTTTTAATTTTCTCCGTAACCAATAACTGTAAAAGACATTTTTATGTACTAAATTATTTGTTTTTAAGCTCTACAAAATTCTTTATTGATACAATTGTAAAATTGTATGTTTTGAGGGTTAAAAATGAAAAAAAAAATATATTCTTACCGGCAAAATACCTATAAAGCAACCGTTCCTATGGCCTTATCATGCCGATCATGCTTTTAATAACTCGTTTTAATAAATAAATGTACGTTTACATGATTCAATGATTTATAATAGGATAAGTCACTTACAATACAAATTAAATTATAAATAGTTCATCTCTTGATTCACAAATAAAAGTAATGTTTGTACCAAATTCCACTAAATCGGATGATTTTTGGGAATCATCGTGCTAACGGACGATAATAACTTTTTTGGATACAGTTAAGTAAAATATTATTTTTTTTTGGAGCCGGGGTCTGCAAAAAACTCACCTAGTTTGAAAATTTATTTATTTATTGTACTAGATACAAACTACTGTTCAACGACTGATACCATAGAGAAGGCTATGCTGATACATTAAATGAAAGGTAATAAAATAAAAGTTATTTTAACACTATCGCACCTCAATATGCGAACCATTTGTAGCCCTGTAGACATGCAAGCTATTTTTACTCATTTTTATCATTAATATTTTATTATTTGTATTATAATTTATTACCAAAACTATGTTCAAGGTCAAATAGGTGTACGCAACTTATTGCCAACGTATGAAAGTAAAACTTTGAAGTATACTCTACACAGCACGAAATTATTATTACTCATCCATTTGAACAATAGTATCAGACCAAATTCCACACCAGAACTTATCTGTACGTCTTGTAGTGAAATTTCCGATCTTTGTGAACTTTTTGTGTTCTTCAATATCAATCATGTATTTCAATTCATATTCAGCATGTCCTGTATAGATGGGCGCACTTGGCGTTGAAAAATTACCCGCTGCATGGAAGATCTGTAGAGTGATTGTAATTGGAAGATTTTATCTTTCCTGATCTTTCAGCCTCAATAAACTGTTAACTATGTTAAACTGTTTTATTTTGTTTTCATGTGAAAGTATTGTGCCCAAAGCTTAGCTTAAATGTTTATGTATAAACATTTGACAGCTTTGGGAAGAATAGTTTTGCCGTTGAAGGTATATTTTGAAGGTCTTTTTTTCGGCATGTAAACCTACATTTATTAAAACGAGTTCGCGAAGCATGATCAGGCCATGGGAACGGTTGCTTTATGGGGTATTTCGTTAAGAACGGGTTTTTGGTATTTTTGACCCTCAAAACATACAATTTTACAATGTATCTCCAAACCATTTTGTAGAGCTTAAAAACAAATAATTTAGTACATTAAAATGTTTCTTTACAGTTATTGGTTACGGAGAACATTAACAAATGTAAATGTAAAAACCTCAAGTTATTACAATAGCGAAGATTTTTAATTATTGTTTTTTCCTTATTTATAGACACATTTTTATAAAATTGGGTAAATTTATTTGTTTCTTATCATACTATTATTATTTTATATAATATATTACCCTCCCTATAGCAGCAAACCTAGGTACCAGTTAAACCTAATGTTATTTAAATAGGTTTGTAAAAATCAAATCAAGCAAATGGAAATTCGCTTAGTCTGCAGGTTTCTGAGGTGGGGGTATTTTCATTCATACTTTCATTTATTTTCTATTTAATAGCAAATAAACTGTCATACTCTCTGAATCTATACGGTGTTTGCTTCAAACAACTATATTGTGAAAATATTGAAAAACCATAATTTTTATACGTATTTGGAAAATTTATTTATTTTGATAATCTGTATTTTGACCATTATTTACGCTACATACTTGCTGTTGGGCTTAAACTGTCACAAATTTATTCTTCTTTAATGTAATAATATAAAATTTTCGATAAAATCAGCGGTTCGCAAGATTGAGTGAAAAACAATAGGAATTGCCATAGTTTTGATATTTCGATAACAAGTGGCGCGCCCCGCGGCGAGCGGCAGTATCTCGAGGTGGATAACTTGGATTTTATGTTATGGGCCCAATACTAACAACATATCCAAAAATCAGAACTACCCGACCTTTTGCATACCAAAATGTCTTATTTTACTGGACTATATAACAAGTGTCATTTTCTAATACCCTTGAATTTTATCTTACCCCTAATCACATGTTTTTGTAAACCTCGATAACAAGTCAGCCTTGACAACAAAACTTATTTAATAATCCCCATGAGAGTCTTGTTATAAAGGTTCTACTGTAGTACTGTGTAAAAACAAAACTAAAGAAATATACATTGAAAGAATCATGGAAATAGAAAAAGTAGAGTATATGACAAAAAGGGGGAAAAATGCAAAATTTCAAAAATTCAAAAAAGCAATGTACATTAAAATTGCTTACTGCTGTCTATTAATCACAACAACTTTAGTTTTTGTATGGTAAAAAGTTACTTACAGTATAATTTTCTTTTACTGTGCTAGCTGAGACAGAGTATGCATATTTATATAAACTCTGTTCATTTTCTTCAAATCAATACATTAAAATGTTTTATTTACTACATTTTTTATTTTTACTTGTATATTAGTTCATTCTTATATCAAACTACCTCTTTCTCAGAAAACCACCATACCAAACCAATTTTATTTACATCAATAGTTCAATCATGTGGGGGGAGCATAGAGAAGTGTTACAGAGTAACATGCTTATGGGAAAACCATGTGCACTAGCTCCGGTATGGTGGTGCGGAAATGTAGTAGTAGTAAGCTAGGAAGAGCCCGAACGGCAATGGTCACATGGCACAATTTTACAGCAGTTTTAGTGCTCAGGGTCTTCCTACTATGTGAGAGCTGTAGTACATAGTATGGAGAGCGGAAGGAGACGACAATAGAATTTGCCCTAGACACCAGAGACTGGTGCTAGACACCACTTAAGTGCGCCATTGAGTGTTTACTCTGTATCTTTCTCCTCTTTGGAGGGAGGGATAGTACACCAGTAAGTCAAGCTCTGAGACAGGGACCTAGACAATCTCTCAGACACAAAACTTTAAATCAAGACTAAATATACTTATGTAATTAATATACAATAACACCCATATAGCTCGCAGACTGTGTCAATGTGTTTTTAAAGCACACTAGGAGCAAGTAGTGTTATTTCCTGTCATGTGGACTACAGTAACTCTCAAAGACAGTCCACACAATTTGCTCTAGGGCCATCAATTTAGGCTACTACTCACTAGAGACTCAAACTTAACTGCACATGATACAAGTTGAAAACAAAAACAAACTCACGCTCTTATTTGACCTATGTCAAGCAACCATAAATAAATATTTGCATTTCAATACTAGAGAAACTTTCTTTACAACATTCAGAACTCATTATCTGCAAAGCAGTTAGTCTCATTCGATTCCATTAACTCTTTTGGTCCAATACTGAGGCATAAGGCATATTCTCATGTTATGTTTGTATGTTACAGATCAGTCCTACTGTTCACTGGGCCCTCCTTGATAGTGATAGTGGTGAAAGTGTTGTCTGCTTTGAAGTCAAATCTAGTATTCAGTCATAGACCAGATCAAATCTAGAAAAATATAGTGAAATAATATAAGTTTTTACCATTTGATAGTTAACGATTATCGATTAGTGCTTGTTGTTTTTAAATACTTTTGTTTACTTATACTTTTGTAAGTTTTAAGTCTTCAAATAAAATATTTTATTATAATATTAATGGCTTTTTTAGTTCCATGAACATTGTACTGTACATCATTAGTAATTATAATAATCAATAGGTATAATCTGTTGTTTTATACCTAGGAACATAGCTATCAAATATTTTCATGAGTGTGACTTTTCTTAACTGGCAAAAGCTATTTTACTTTTAATGGTAAAAGTAACTAACCAGTTTTAGTATATGAAACTTGATTTTCTGTCAAAGTCTGATGAATTTCGGTTTTCCTTGGTAAAGCACATAATCAGGATAATTTTCTTCTGGAAAGTGTTGCAACCGAGTTTGGTTCATTTATATTTTTTGTTAGGGTTAATTCACTAAAATCTCAAATTAAAGTTTTACAGATGCTCATTAAATTGATTTGTGTACTTTTTTAATCATGAATTTCATTACCAAAATGGCCACTCTTTAATATTAGCCTAATAATGATTTCAAAACCGTTTCTTGTGTTTTTGATTTTTGCAAAACTGTTTCTTAAGCATGCTTTTATGGGGATCCGTTTCTCCCAGGACCAAATGGGAACTTTGGTTCTAAATGAGCTAATGAATATGTAATGATAAGTTTTTGATCATATTGTGTGCTATAGATGAAATTACAAAATTAGCTCACACAAAACAAAACAAAATGTTAAAATAAAATAAATATTTTGTCAAAAGATTAGAATGCCCTAAAAATTTTACAAACCTTTATAATAAAAAAAAATTGAATTACAGATTTCCGTTATGAATTTATGTACTGTTCCACTTCTTTCAATATACCAGTACACATCTAACAAAATTTTCCTCATAACTTAAAACTAGACTAAAAGTATCCAGAACTGACTTATAGCTGACGTCTCAGAGGTAAGCGTCGGTAGAGTACATATTTCAAAACTTCTGAACATTTCGGATGTATAAATGGAAGTATCAGAGAATTCAGTGGCCCCTCGAGCCCCCTAAAGTGAAGTTTGTATTATCTTTATCATATATCTGGCACTCCAAGGTACTCTCGCAGATTGATACATTGGGGAAGCAGTTTTAAATTTGAATAATCAAATATGGCTTTGAAAAAAAATGGTATAATAGTTCAACATGAAAAGAGTTATACTAGAAAGAGCAAAGAGCAACGAGAGTTATATTAGAAAAATCATGTATTTGTAGAATTAAAATTTAACAATATTTTTTTCCAACATTTTTCTTTACATTCGTATGGATAATGTACACATACCTACATGAGAAAAGTGTTTGGAAACTTTTTATATGAGTCAACATTTAAAAATCTATTTATTGTATTGTCATTTAAAGTGTACTTACTTTAATCGACCACCAGAGAAAAATATAGATTATTCAAGTTGTACAACAAGTCTTCAGTATAAAGGACTTACATTATTTTTTCTTAAGAAAAAGTCTTAATCAAAACAAAAAGAAGGTCTCAAATTGAAAAAGCTCACTTGAATGCCCTAATTCAAGTTTACCTTTCTTCGCACTGAACTATCCACCAAGAAAGACAAGAAGAGCCATCATAAAGCAATAAGTAACTATGTGGTTTAGTCCCAGTGGTAACTCTGAATTTTAGCTAGAGCATGCCATTCTCTATCACAACCTCTAATAGTTGCATCTACATCCTTGTGATAGTGACAGAGCAGTACCTATCCACAGATTGCCTTGAAGCAATTCATTCCTCCTACTCCTGATCATAGGTAAGAATCTGTTTTGAGACCTTTTCCCTGAAGAAAATAATCAGAAGATGAAATAGGTGACGTAGCTAAGGAAGATAGAAACTCATTATTCCTTCATATAAACCTATAATAATTTAATACTTTTCATTGAAATGGCGACCATACAAAGTAGGTATTTTAAGCCAAGTATGGATAGAGATGAGTGTATGATGAGTGGTGTGATTTTTTAGTCTTGTTAGTGACTAAGGCCGCCAACAACTACTTCAACTACTAGCAAGACCTGAAAAAAAGCAGTCTCCTCAATGCATTGACTTGTGAGGTAAAGATGTACGTGGTGGTCTTAGACTATTGAATTATAATCAGATGTTCATCGTTAAGACCCATAGTTAAGTTAGATGTTCTTTATCTGAATTGTTTCACAAAATGACCACTGTAAAGAAATTTTGTATGCTTTGCATTGACTAATTATTTTACACATTGCAGCTGGTGTCAGGACGAGTCACAAAACTGCACAAAACTGGTAGCTAAAAAACATTGGTTGTTCAAATGATAGGACATAGGAGTTCAAGTGATTATTAATTTCATGGCTCTTCCCATGTTCCCCATTTGTTCACACTAACATAAGTGATATTCAGTTTAACAGCAGAACAGTCTTCATTGAGAGTAATATACCGGAGGTGTACGTAGAGAATACGTAGAGAAACGTAGCCTGTCGGGCGATTTTTAAAAATCCTCCTGCGGACTTTTTCTGCTGCGCATGCGCATAGAGGTATTTTCATGGTTACTACTCCGCACTGCCACTAGGTGCGCTGTGGTTTCATTCCAGGGTGTCCAGCCAACCTGGAAACCGGGAATTGTACGTAAATTATGATGACCGGGAAAAAATCCAAGAATTTTGTAAGGAACCGGGGAATTTAAATGTTTGAATAACAGCTGAAAACCCCACCAGAGTTCACCAATTTTCTTTCTTTTTTTTATAAAAACGCGATTGTGGGGGAACTATTACGTTGCCGCAATCGCAAGAAACAATCACCTCCGTTTCTGCGAACACAAAAACCATCAAGAATTTTGCCAGTATTACATAAATAGTCACGGGTGTTGCCAAGATGGCAAAAAATCATCAAGTGTGATAACGTGATTGCAACAGACTTTCACGATTTTTCCGCAATCGTTTTAGACGTATACAACTTTACTGTAATCCCCCATACGGTTTTTGTGTGTTTTAGCGATCGCAAGTAATGATTTTAAGGTGTTTTAAGATACGTTCATGAATGTCCAATTTCAAGAAATCTTGACGGGTGTGACCGCGATGGGGGCAAATCATTGCCGATTCTGCCACGATCGCTGGAATTAATTACCGAGGTTGCCGCAATGCCAGGAAATTATCTTAAATTTAGCCTCAATCGAATGATATGATCATCGATCTGGCTGCGATGGAAAAAAATGCAAACGGAACTTGCAGAAGGGGTTGTGATATACTAGCAGGTTTAAACAAGTAAGTTTTGTTTTTTTTGAGTGGCAAGTGTTGTCCTGGAAATTTTGAACCGGGAAAACCTGGAATCGACCTTAAATTTTGTTGAACGACACCCTGGATACCCTGTAATTGCACCTATTTGTGAGGGATTGAAATCCTATTCCACACGAGGTTCCGTTTCTTTCTTTGGTTTTTCACATTTTTTTATCATGGTTGTACAACACCACATGCCGTTTCACAGCACCGAAGTAGTGAAAGCACGAGGTGAAGGAGGGTCCATCTGCTAGCGGACTCCTGCTGCTGTGTTCGTTAGAAAAAAATCCGTCTGCCAGGAGGAGTCCATTTACATGAGTCCATCTGTTTCTGTGTGCGCCGGCCTTAACACTTTGACTGCTCGTAGGCCACGGACTTCCTATTATGGTGAGGCATTACTAAATGCTCTTGGTATGAGCTCAGGCTCGGTCGGAGGAGACCAATATTTTGTGCTTGTGGAGTAATATTTTTCTCAGTTACCGTTGTGCAATTGATTGTACGCCAGTGGGATCTGTCGTCAGGCAGCATTTCAGTCAGAGTATTTTTCCTGCAACATAGTAGTCAATTTAAATAATTTTGACATTTATAAGTATGGCACGTTTTAGAGTGTTTTGATTGAAAGTGATTAGTGAATTAATTAATTAGTGAACGACTTCACCAATGCTCATGGAACACCGGCTTCCCTCAAGGCGGCAATCTCCTAGGGGCTTATAGATGACTGGCATCCCATAATTTGATGACGTAACTATACATACTGAGTTTATGTTTAATTTTATTCTTTTTTACAGAATATTTTTCCTACAGTTACCTGACAAAGTGGGCTTCCTTGCACTGATTAGAGCACGCCAAGTAGGTAATTGCTGCATTTATTTACTTTTGCCGCACTCATTTTTTGCCACACTCGAGTATTCCAACCAAACAACAAAAAACAGCGTGCTTTTAAAAGGCACAAAATACGTGTACGCTTGAAAATAAGTTGGCAATACTTAAATATACTACGGCTATGATCAGCTAGTGCAGTGCAGCGTTTCCTATTTCTTTCAACCCTTGGCTTTATCCTAACCTAAAGAGGTGTTTGAAAGACTAATTGTTTATATGCTTAATAGTAACTGTAGGAAAAATATAATGTGTAATACAAGTGCAAAGTGCCTTTGCACACTAGTTACGGTACTCAAATAACTATTTTAGAGATATTCAATATAAATTCCATAACAAAAAAAATTTTGATCTGCCTTCAATATTTTTTATGTTTTATTAGCAGTCAAAGCATTAAATAGTTTCACCCCACTTGTAATTTGGGTTGCGTAAAAAATCCTCCTTATACATAGTCACCTTAAAAGATTGGTGTTTGGATGTGTTCAGTGGTGGTCCCAGGGGGGTATATGGGAGGGATATATCCCCCCCCCAAAAATATTTTATACAGTAGACTCCCTCTTATCCGAACACCTTTTAACCGGACATCGGTTTGACTGGACTTAACTCGGTAGAAGTGACAACTTTTTATCCGGATAATTTTTATCACTGGTTGAACCAGACTAGATTGGCAGGAAGTGGGCAGTACTGAAATGACTATTCTCGTGGGAAAGATTTGAGACCAGTAATTACGAGTCTAAATACGATGCTCTCCTAATTTTAAGTCAAATACTGTATAGAGTATGCATTTAAATGGTCCGTTTTAACGAGATTTTGGGGACATCGGTTTAACCAGAAAAACCGTTATCCGGACTGGCCTCGACCCAAGGAGTCTGGATAAGAGGGAGTCTACTGTATTTTATTAGCTAACATAAATACTATTAGCTTTAGCATACTTTAGAGCTCAAATACATTTAAAAATATGTTTTATGGGCTTTAAATTCCACTTTTTCCGGGAGGGACCCCTGGACCCCCCTTTTTTGTGGGGGATATTCCATGCCCCCCATCCCCCACCCAGAAATCATAATCCTGGGACCGCCACTGGACGTGTTTACGCTATACCATTATTCCCCATCAAATACAATACAATTTCTTCAATTTCAATGCCAGTAAGAACTAGTTGTTAAAACAATCAGTGGAGTTTTTCCACTTCTGTTTTTGCTGGGTTGGGTTTTTTTTAGGTTCCAAAATGTTTCTTGAGGGCTTTCATTTATTTGTTAGTGCTCTCTATGTCTGATGTGTATTTCTTTGGGCTGTATTCTCAAGATTTAACATTTCATGTGAACACAGCTAATTTCTGCAAGTATATGATACAAATTTGTCAAGGTGTTCTTTAAAAAAAACTCGTCAGTAATATTATAATAGTGTTTGTGGTTGTAAATTATGAAAGACGATTTTGTAACCTTTCAATCTCAGTATGTACCCCAACCCCAACACATGTGTACCCAAAAGTGAAAAAGGTTAGGCAATCTATAAAATGGGTGAGCAGACTTAACTTATTTGAGTTATTCCATATACAATACAGGGACCATTCCTTTTTGACAATAGGGAGTCCATTTTGAACCAATAACATCAATCAACTGAGATTTTCATGAATATTTAAAAACCAAGACCAATTTACTATGAAATCAATTTATTCTTATTGCCATGCTGACATTCAGTTACATTGATAAAGTCATTTCAATAAATTGAATGGTAATGATGTTTGCTTTGTGACTTCTAACAGCTCTGACTTACAATGGCATATTGCTTTAGTAATGGTCAATTACTGCTGCAACACTCAGGAAAGTAAATTTACAAAACAAGTTGTTTTGTTATCTTGAGCTTTTTAAGTTATTAAGCTCCAAATACACACAGAGGTAGCAAAAATTAACAATTAAAAACAAAAAACCAAAAGTATTTATTTAATTTTTGTATTTAACTATTTTTAACTTTAAAAGTTTAATAGAATATCAAAACTGTGTTAGTGAGAAGGGTATAGAACCATTTTGGCACAAATTTTTTCAGCACTCTATTCTAGTAATAATGAACACAATTAAATTTTTCTCCAAAACTCTACTTATACATCATGCTAGGAGTTTGGTCACTGCAACATTTTCTACATTATATATTCTTATTTGAGATGAGGATACAATTCCGACAATTCCCAGGGTTGTAATATTTTCCAATCAAGTCTCAGCAAAGTTCTTTTTAATTAAAACCCAATGATCGAAGGCAGCTGGATCCATATTCGAACCATTAAAATGGTATTGGCTGTTCTAAGAACTTTGAATGATGTTTTCTAAACTATAATACGCTAATTTGATTTTTGTAAACAGAACTCCTCCCACATTTTTGGACCGATTTTGATGATTAAAATGTCAAATCAATGGCCCTGATCTGTAGTTTTGCAAAGTGTTTTTTGTTTTTTGATATCTTTATTAGTTTGGGCAGGATCTTCCATCAAAGTTGGGTTTTCTCCCATAAGATGAAGATGGGGGAATTTAAATATTTAATTGGAAACTTTGTCCCCACTAATTTGAGAGAACGGCTGGGCGTAGAAACTTGATAGAGAGGTGTCCAAAGAAAGGTCTTGGTCTGTAGATGAGTTATCAAAAGATAAACGAAGTAAATTCGCTTAGGGCCCCAGAAGCCTTTAAAGATCCCTCGACAGATTTGTTTACATTTTGGCCATGTGGATAATACTTTTTAATGAAACAGGTGTTAATTTTTAAATTGTGTTTTAAACAACACACATTTATTGGGAGTTACTGAGTTGTCCAGAAGAAGTATTTGCAATGTTATTTTCTGATTTTAAAATTGATTTTCTTCTGTATCATGTCATATTTTGCAATTTTAACGTTTCATTACGAAATCAGTGGAAATTCCTTTCATCACAGAACTCTAACAATAATTTCTTATTGAACTATCTAATATCTGTTGTACGGGTTGATGTCTGCCTTTTTCACCACTTTTATCATATTATTCTACAGATCATCATAGGTTCATGAGATTAAACATTGGAAAAATAGTCGAATGTGTAATACAATACAAAATAATACAAGTGCAGAAGGGCACGTTGTCCATTTGACCTGTGTCCATATTTTGTTAAATTAATAGTAGTTTACAGCAACTGGATAAAACATTTTACAATATTTATGTAGAAATATGTGCACGATTAAGAAAGTCATTAAGCTGTAAATCTGAAATTTACTACAGACTTTTCAGAGAGGTTACTACAAAGTATTCATTCAGCATAGTGAACACATAATATAGATATGTATACAAATAAGAATTTGAACTCTTAGAGAGCCTTTTTAATGTTATTAGAATAACAAAATGGGTTGTACATGTTTACTAGTGCTACTCAGCAACAAAAACCATTTAATTTATCTCTAAAATGTATATTTTTAAAGTGCACTGAGCAGCAACCTAAAAAATACTATGTAACTTACCCATATAGTTACAAAATGCTTGAACTCGCATTGTTACATTTATAATTCGGCTTATATTTCTCCAGCAGATTATTTATCTGCAGAAGAAGTATATTGTGCTCTTATCATGTCTAATAACATCCAAAGACAGAAACCTTGCCTAAAATGATACCTATCTTGAGAAATTATTTGCAGTGTCCTATATACGGACCGTGGCCCACTAGTTTGATGCTTTCATAAAATGATAACCTAAACTGATTCAAATGTAAAAACAATTTAAAAAGTTGATGTATGCTGCAATTACAATCACATAGATTTACTTTATAAATTGATATAGAAATAACTATCATGTTTTTTTTTCTAATAATAATAAACTTAATGAATTGTTTTCAATGAAATGTGGTTTTGTATTTTATATGGCCTGCACAAACAATTTTAACTGAATATTAAGTTATACCATAGACTAACCAACACAAGGGAGTATGTTTTATCTATGGTTATACTAGAGGTCAGCCACTGGTCTAAAACTCTACCAAAATTATGTAAGGTATAAAGACTTCTCTATTTTCACCCGCTCTGTAATAAAACATGTGATTGGAACTTCTTCCATTTTTTGTTACCATAATGTTCTGTTTGCATTTCGTTGTTATTTTTTCACCAGCATGGCAACCCTTAAGACATAGTACTGTAAACTGAGTACTACAGCACTATTAATTGTACCAAGTACTTGTGCACTATTGTTTAGCAAGTCGTTGACCACGTAACATCGGCCAGTTCTATTTTTAAACTGTAACCTCACATGACTGTTATCTCAGTATCTCACAAGCCACTGCAGTGTCAACAGAGAGTGTGCTGCAGTTATTGACTTGTATAGGAAGAGGAACAACCCACAATAGGAGGCACATTGTAAACATGACTTCATCAAATGTGGAGTTTTGGAAACTGGGAAAAAAAATTGCAGGGGCAGGATTAAACTACAAGTGAGTTATTTAGCCATACATCATTTCTACTGTGTTAATGTAAATCATAATTGTAAATAATAATCAAATTGTAGTTTAAAACAATAATTGTTATTAAAATGGCCAAACAAAAGCTCTAAGTTAGCAATAAAACTGAAAATTCTATTAACTACTCTGCTTTGACTGTAACTGTAAACTAAAATAGTTAAAAATATGTTTTGTGGTAATGAATATGTTTAAAAGATAACTTAGCGTTAATTGAAGTGTTGTGTTTAGTATTTCAGTAAATTTGTTGTTGGGTCAAAAGATTATACTGTTGTTTAGATGGTCTGAAAAACTGAAATCAAGTTCCCTGGATCCATTGATTATATATACTCAATAACTATATGGTCTTCCTCGCTTTGCGGAAAAGTGTTCTTGTAAAACTCGTAAAACTCCTCTCCCGGTGTATAGCTAGATGTCTAGTGTGTGTATAGTCAAAGCTAGAACTAGAACTTACGTGAAAAGGGTTAGCAGCATGATCTATTGGGTTTTGACATTTAAATTGATGGTAGAAAGTAAATATTTCATTTTTTATCAAACTCTATTTATATTTAAACAAGTGTATCTACAAGGGTCAGAGAAGTAAATTTTTCCTACACTATACTTTTACGTGTATGGATATAAAGATTAATTAACTGATTAACATGAAGGAAGCAGGTGTAATTCATCCATGGATTAGAATTATAATTAAGTAATAAGAAGCTAGTCTTCCTTTTCTTCTGGTATGATTAAACATAAACAAACCAATATTTACTAATGTTATCTTGTTTATTTTCTAGAGCACTTTGTTTAGAGCGGAAACTACCTATTCCAAAAACACCAGTCATATTTTTGAAACCAACTTCATCCTATATTATTGAGGGTCAAAATATTGAGGTAAGATGATACTGTTTGAACAAAAACTAATCATGGTAATTATTTAAATAGAAAATTTGTGGCTATGTCCATGATGAACTTGATGTTGCTACAAATGTTATAATTACCAAGCAGTTTTCTTAGATGAAAAGTGGACTATACCATTTTCAGAAATTAATTGTATTTCTACTTCCTGTAGTCATGTGATTTTTTTTATGTTTGAAGTTGATTTTATCAGTACCTACATGAATATAAATATAAGTCTATTTTAAAACGTTTTTTATTAGCTCGCTTTCTTGTCCGGTACAAATTTTGCAGCCAATTTTCTGTTATTAGACCCAGAATAACTTTTTAGTTTTTATGTTTAAATATATAAATTGTACTATCTGTAAAAATATAGTCATCTTTTTACATTATTTAACTATTCGTTCATGAAACATGATTTTAAAGTAAAATTTGTAAAAATAATTATTTAAAAATAAAACACCAAAACATCTAAGGATAGAATTAAACTTATTAAATATACAGTTTTAATGCGGACTACACACTGGTGTTACAGATAACATCATAAGACATATTGTGTCGTGTCTGATGAAATTGATAGAGACATGGATGTTGCTTGGTTGAGACATTCCTCTCCTCCTAATGTACTGTGGTCAGTTGGGTACAAGATGCCATCAAAAGACGAGAAATTGTTCTTTTATTGCCCTTGTCACAATATGCAGGGTTTTTACACAGAGTTGACTCATTCTGGAACCCAAACACGGAGATATCAAGTCAGAATGTAATGACCCCAACAACTCAACTGATAACTAAACAAGATTCTAAAATATTTAAAATTAAAACAAAACCACATCCTAAACTCATAGTGAGATAAAACGGCTACTATACCATCGTTGCTCCGAGGATGTGTACCAGTACCAGTGCCACACATGAGCCAGTCTGAATGTCATACAACATGTCTCACCAAACACTGACCAACCGGTCTTCCGTTACACATGTCCGATACACAAAACTCAAAAGTTTAAAATTTTATGTTTGACTAAGAATCTGTCTTGGTCTAAAGAGATGGTATTTCAATTAATTGTATCAGTGGATGGATACCATGTCTTAATGACCTTAAGATTTTCAGGGTATGAGGATACATTAGCCCTTGGGGCCCTTTTGAGGTATTGGTACTCATTAGTTATTTGTAATGCATCTACTTTAAAAAGATTAAAATAATTCATCAAAAGACATGCATATCTAGCTTACCCATGGAATGGAATACATTTAACTTACCACAATACAATTTTAAGGTAGGTTAACCTTTGTCGGTAAACCTCAGTTTTGTATGAAAGTGACAAGAGTTTATAGAATGAAATATGAATAGTTACTTCAAAATCAAATCAAACCGTGATTGCAAGCACCATGGTTCATTAGTTCATCTCAAGATTTCTGTAAGGCATAATTATTACTCTCCTGCTAGCAGTGATTCAACTCATTTTACCAAAAAACATCATTTGAATCATTTGTAAAACCAGACTGATTGCTTTATTGCCTCTGATTTTACCATATCTACCATATGTAGCTGGTAAACGTCATTAAGTTTGGGCAACCAGATCGGATTCTGACAAAGATTTGCTATAGTGATGCACTAGTAGAACTGATCTCTAATAATAGTCTCATTGTCAAAAAATAACAACAGGGTAGTGCAGCTCATTTTGTTAATTATCATATTGTTTTCTACACTACAATCAGTGATACTTCTACAGGTACTCAATAAATCACCCTTTTTGTTTCATTATAGATTCCAAAGGAGTTTGTTGTCAAAGAAGAAATTGAGCTGGGTGTTATAATCGGAAAGAAGTGCAAGAACATTAAACCTTCTCAAGTCGTGGACCACATCATGGGGTATTGTTTGGCTCTGGATCTCACTTCAACTAGCTTCTTGGTAAGAATCTGGTATCATACCAGTGTTCAAGTCCTTCTTGTACATTTTTATCACAATAATTTTTAAATGAACTATTAAAAATGCTTAAATATTTAAAAAAAAAGTTGAGCTTTTCATCTCTTGCTCTCTTTTATGAGGACACTCTAAGGAACTACTTTCATCCCAGCAGATAATAATGTACCCTTAAAGCTATATTTTGCTATTTTTCAAGGCAAATTTGATAATGTTATTTTGTTCCTTCACCATCCAATTTTTCTTCCAAGCAACCTATAGAACTTTCAATGACAATCTTATTGGAAATTCTTTAGTTAGTAGCTGTCATTAGGCTTTGAGTGGAGTTAGTTCTCTAAACATACAAAGTTATCCTCAGTCCTTGCCAGAGAGACCAATCTTTTTCTGTTTTCTAGTTAGGTGTATCTACTATTTATAGCTATCTTACTATTTTTATGGGTGATGGATTTGGGTTTTTTATTTCATTCAGTTTGTTCATCCCACTTTTACTCCTATCACTCATTTGTCAGTTCAACGTTCAACTATAAGTCAGTACTCTACAACAATCTATAGTCAATTTATGGATACTGTATGTACACTCATAGATTAGAGTGATCAGCCAAATTATAAGGTAGGCCAACTAATTGAATTTTCATGTCAACAAAGTGGGATTATGTAATACTGTATGTAAGCTTCAAACAAGTTTTCAAAATTGGTTATTTATGGTTATCAGTTACTGATAACAGTATAAAAATAAATTTGTAAGATCATAATACAACAACAAATACTTTTTTCATATTTTCAAATGGTTAGTTTGATTTCATGAGGTTAAATAGTATAATCCCATTTATTTATTTACTTTTAGCAAATTTCCTATGTCAGGAAAAAACTATTACCATAGGTCTCATGGTGAGACCTATACCCACTTCTTAGGATAAAAAACACACAAAAAACAAATAATTTTATACACTGATGAAGCAGTTGTACACCTAATGATTAAGAAGTAAATTCCTAAAAACCGTTAATTTCAAATTTATATGTTATGGAAGTAAGCTTGTTTATGGATATATTTTGATTAAATTTATTTTTTTAATACCTAGATATTTAAATTTCTCTAAAAACACATTTTGTTACATTTCTTGTAGCAGCAATCCAAAGCGCTCATCAAACATAGAACATTATAGATCTGAAATGTTTAAGGAAATATTCAAGTGAAAATCCAATCAGCCAAATTCACTTAGCCTGCAGGTTTGCTGTGTGGGGGTATTTTAATGGTAACTTTAAATTTGAAACTGTAAGGTTATACATTGTAAGTATAATACATTTTACATAAGTTACCATATACAGTGTGGTAGAAAAGTCCCGGAACGGTTAAATATTTTAAAAAATAATGCAGATAGAGCTAAAATACTTGGTACAAAGTTACCGGGCATAAAACTCTATTTTAACACATATTCAGTGATTCAATAACTCTTCAGGGGGACGTCCCACAAGGAGTCATAAGAAAATCTTAAATGGAAGCTTAGGTCAATCCTGCGCAAAATGACAGTTGTTCAAAGATTCATTTAATTTACATTGCTATTATACGCTTTCTCCTCAGGGGGCACAGCCCTAGGAATCGGAAGAAAATTTTTAACGTAAGAATAGGTAGATATGCACATCAAATTAAAGGTCTTCACTTTTAGATTACGATGCCGTAAATTCAAGCTCAAAAGAATGCCTGAGTAAAAAATGGCAGTCGTTCAAAGATTCAAAATGGCGGATTCAAGAAATCTTTGAACATCTGCCATTTTGCGCAGGATCAACCTTTTGAAGTGCAAATTGCGGCATTGTATTCTACTAAAAAAGACCTTTAATTTGATGTGCATATTGACCTATGCTTCCATTTAAGATTTTCTTCCGACTCCTTGTGGGCCGTCCCCCTGAAGAATTATTGGATCACTGAATATGTGTTAAAATAGAGTTTTATGCCCTGTAACTTTGTACCTAGTATTTTAGCTCTATCTGCATTATTTTTTTTATATTTAACCGTTCCGGGACTTTTCTACCACACTGTATTATACATTCAGTGACATGAATTCTTATAAATACGTTCTTTCACACATTTAGCACTAAACCTATACTGGACAGTTTCTATTTTATAAGCAGTGGTTTGAAACAGTTTCTTTTTAACATTGTCTTGTTTTTGAACAAATATTTTAAGAACCTCTATATAATGTCCCATATTACTGTAACAAACGAACCATCATCCATGCTTCTATACTTGTATTAATGAATTGTATTCCAATGTAAGGAAAACAAACAGTCTTTGTTTGCTGCCATCAACAGTGATTTCCAATTATATTTGGAGTACATATTGCGAAGCTTGACTCATGGAAATGCTTTAATCACACGGTGTTTACTATATCTCTGTTTGTTTAATGAATCTTCATACAATGTTTCGTACATTGCAAATGTTTGTCATGGATTATTGAAACAGTAATGAAGGGCGGGTATGCTGCAGCAAACCTTTCAAAACAAAAAACTGTATGATGAACATAAAAATATTAAAAATATCGTCTTGAAGTCCTGAAGTTTGATCTCGTAAATATGTAATGTATAAGCCATACATAAAAAGAGAAATACAAGAACCACACTATCAAAATAATTTTTTTTAATCTAATTAAAACATTTCTAATTTAGCATTTAGGCTGGAAATATTGTGTTGACCCTACCTCATATACATTCTATTATTCCAGCAGCTAAGTTTAGTAATTATCTATCAAAAAGCACACAGACTTAAAAAAATATATAAAAATAAGAAACTGCTTTTCAGGATGAAGCCAGAGCTAAAGGTCTACCATGGGCTCTAGGCAAAGGGTTTGACACTGCTTGTCCAGTGAGCAGCTTCATCCCCAAGGAAGCTATTCCTGACCCGGACAATGTCAACCTGTGGTGTCGGGTCAACGGAGAGTTGAAGCAGGATGCCAACACGTCAGATATGATTTTCTCTGTCGGGGAACTCATCAGCTACATCTCCAGCCTCATGACTCTGGAGCCCTACGACCTCATACTCACAGGATCTTCCAAGGGTGTGGCTGAGATCAAACCTGGTGACATTGTGGAAGGAGGACTAGAACACTTGGTCAAGTTTAAATTCCCTGTTAAATCTGCCTAATGCCTTATTGTATTATTTGTTAATATTAAATTGTTCTACTTTTTGTTTCCATTTAAGTTCTACCTACCCCTTGTCCTTGTCCTTGAGGATTAGAAGCAAAATTAAGTTGATACAGTTAACATTTTTTTTATGGTCCAAAACAAACACACTGTAGATTGCATTGATATCCTTAGTACACTGTTTGGCTAATTTAAGATCATTATAACCATTCAATTGCATAAAATACCACAATTATATACATTACGAGGTGAAACCCGTCGAAATCGACGGTTACTTTCAAGGCTTACGTTGATTCATCTAAATGTGATAAATTAGGTGAAATATACATATTTTGAGCATTTAGCATTGTTTAAAGAGTAATAAGTGTAACAACAATGATGATATTAATTGCGTTAGTTGCCAAATTTGGTCGATCATTCAATGAATAAAAAATTCCCCATACCGTGTACCTCATCAGAGTTATTATTAGTATGTTATCTGGTATCTCTTCCTTTGGAAGAACCCTTAAATAGTATTAAAATCGTATTGGTGGATCTTTTGTAGTTTAACACTTCCATGATTTCATCAGTGTAATATGATTTTATTTGAAAAGAAAATATTTTTTGGGAAGACATATTCTAATTTCAAAGGGGTATCCGTTACAGTGTAAGTTTGATTTTTCCTTCGTTAGGTCGCGTCAGTTCATATCATACGTCTGTGCCAATGAATGAACCCTCTAGCATACTTTTGAGAAATTGATTGTCGGGTTACTGTTGAAGCTGGAATTCCTTGACATGGGGGATGTCAGTTAGTTGTCTCAGCCTTATCAATAACATAAAGTTGTCAATATAATCTCTCTACGGAATGTTAGGTGTAGTGGAATTGGTTTTTATTCTTGAACTGTTGGGGGCCTCCTAGTTCATACGGCATTGCGGCTTCATTGGCAACAAATAATGCAAATGACATAGCAATGGGACATTTCCAAAAAACAAAAATACTGTAAATTGACTGTTACGTATATATTGACGTTTACATATTGTTAATCAACGTATCTTATAAAGGATTATGTCATCTAGTGTAAAAGGAATATGACCTTTCTGTCATGACAGTAGCTGCTTAAATAGTATTTTCTCTTTGGACCATATTTTACAGCCAAAATGTCGTGTTATTTTCAATAATGTTACCAACCCAGTGCGCCTAAGTCCGTAATATAGGGAGGTGCAAATAATTTGTCAAGATGGGTACAATTTTAGGCAAGGTTTCTATGTTTCGATTTTATTAGACACGATAAGAGCAGGTATTTCTACATAAATATTTGATATGTTTAGAATTATATGATAAAATGTAGGCAAAAGTGGTGAAAAAGGCAGACACCAACCCGTACAATAGATATAAGATAGTTCAATAAGAAATAATTTCAGAATTGCTGTGATAAAAGGATTTTCCACTGATTTCGTAATGGAACGTTATATTGCAAAACATGACATGATAAAGAAGAAAATCAATTTTAAAATAAGAAAATAACATTGCATATACTTATTTGGTAGAATTCAGTAACTCCCAATAAATGTGTGTTGTTTGAAATACAATTTAAAAATGAACAGCTGTTTCATTAAAAATTATTATTCACATGGCCAAAATATAAACAACTCTGTAGAGGGATCTTTAAAGGCTTTTGGGGCAGAGTCCTGAGGGACTTTGCTTAGTTTTTCTTTTGATAACTCATCTACAGACCAAGACCTTTCTTTGGACACCTCTACCAAGTTTCTACGCCCAGCCGTTCTCTCAAATTAGTGGGGACAAAGTTTCCAATTAAATATTTAGATTCCCCCATGTTAATCTTATGGGAGAAACTCCAACTTTGATGGCCTGTGGGGCAAAGCCCGACGATTTTTATTACAGGAATTTGTGAAAGGGGGCGTCTACACAAAAAATACTTTATTTTGACACGTGGTTTGTAAAAATCCGTCCATTATTAACGGAGGAGTAGTGTTTCGTAGAAATCGCCTTCACGTATTATATATAAGGATAAATGTACTGTTAAGATATATGGCTTATTTGATACAGTGTTAAAAGTTTTATCCTCTTTTTTTATTAAAAACAGTTTGTCCTGGCACCATATATAAAGACAAAGGAAGTCCTATTTATGTTTTAAAGTGTCAAAGGGATTGTAAAGTGTGAATAAAATCTTCAGAGTGCCTATGACAGCCTTCTAGGATCCAAGTTGCCAGAGGAGACAGTTTTAGTTAAGTTGCAGCCCTCATTGTTGCCGGGACGATTGAAACTGTACCAGAGGTGAAGTCATGCACATTGCCAATGCCTGATTGGCTGATCATGTCTTTCAGTCACTTTGAGCAAGACAGAGATCATCATGAGTACAAAGAAGCGGATTGACAGCATCGTCCCACTAAAAGTTGGAAACTAAGTAGGCCAACTAGTAGCCAACTAAGTAGGAACAACTGAGTTCCTCGATGTCATGGTAGACAACAAGACGTAAAACTGGAGCGATCACTGATCAGAAGTTTTGTACAGCAGACAAGGAAAGTTACAGGTCTTAGTAAGCTTATGGCCAATACCGGAGCGGGAGGTCCGGCCGTCCAGCAAAGACTCTTGATCCCTGCAGTCCAGTACGTGCTCCTTCACAGCTGTGAGGTGTGGATAGACACATTGAGGCTTGCAAGAGAGCAGCGTCAGATGGCACTCGGGGTCGTACACCAAGACACCTTTTTTATATGAATTGAATATTTTTATCTTATTTTTCATACATAAATAATTTGTTTGTCATACTTTATTAGCCCACTAAAAGCTTCAAAGGCTTGGTTTGAATTTCTCTTTACATCACTTTCCGTCACCTTATTTCTATCAATTACACACTACCTAGGTACAACAAGATTTCAATATTTTCAAATTGTTCAATCTCAAGCATAGTTTTATCTCTATCCTCATCATTGTTTAGCTTTGTACTTTGATTTTCTCTTTTTTTCTAAGTCCTTTCTTCAGGTGTTCTTGCCTCAGTTTTTGTGATTTTTGTCTATTGCTGTAGGTATAGTTGCAGCCTTGTTGCATCATCTACATACTCCAAGTCTTCCATCTGCTATAAAACCTTCCAAGTGATTCTCCTTCCTTTTGTGCTTTTTTGTGCTTTTTTGTGCCTTTTGTTTTCATTTTATGATCAATTAATTATAATAAAGAAATATAATGTGCCTGACAATTAGAATCCCTGTTTTACCCAGTGTTATGTTAAAACCCTTCTGATGTTTCACCTTCCTGTATGATTTTCATTTTAAGTCATTTAGCACACTTATGATTCTGGTCAAGCAGTTCTCCAGTATCCCATACTTTCTAATTTCTACAGATTGCAAATTATCAAAGGCATTCTCAAAAATCTATGAAAAGCATGTGAACACTGTTTCATTCAATCAATTGACTGTTCTGTAACTAATAAGCTTGTTAAGTGTGTATTAAGTGTTGGTTAACGCTACCATTGACTAATTCTCTTGTCTGTGGCGCTACTTTGCTGTTCTCTCATAAACAGTGTGAATTTTTTTGAATACCCTATCATTTGACTCTTTTAATTTTCACTGATTTACTTTACACAAAATCTTACCTTCTGTACTTAAAAGAGATTCCTCACTAGTTACCACATAATAAACCTCTCACCAGTCCTTCAGTATTCTTTCTTTTCTTCTTCTTCAGATTTTAAATGTTAATTTTATCTGTGATTGGCAAGCTATTCCTGAACAGTTCTGCTAGGATTTCTTCTATTTTTCCTGACTTATGATTCTTCATTTCTGTAATAACTGTCTTTGTTACTTGTTCTTAAACTCTTCCACTACATTCAAGTCACATAACGAATCTTTTATCAGTTCCATCATATTTTTTTTCATGGTAACTTTCCATCCTGATATCTAACAGGTTTGTTCCTCCTTTTTGGAACTGCCCAGCCATCCTTAGAGTGGGTTCATACTCTAGTTTCATGTCATATTTTGTCTTGCAGCTTCTTCTTCTTTTTTTCATGAAGTCTTCTTTCATAGTCTCTTTTATCTCTTCTCACGCTCCTTTTCACTTCTCTATTTTTAAGCCCAAAACTGGAAGCTGTTAAAATGCTACACCAGGGCAGGGTATGGGTCATTTTACAGGTAGATACTGTATTGCACCGTTCTTTAAGAGGTATTCCATCACATACCTCAGCAAAGAGCTTGCATTTTACTTATTTAACTGGATTTTTTAAGTACTGTTATAAAATGTCCAATTTATGAAAGTCTGTTAACCTTGCAGTAATTTGGTCATAAGAGGATAAGGTGATCATTGAAATTGGTTTTTCAAAATAGGCTCTAACTGACAGTTACAATACATTAAAATAATTCTGTAAAATACAAGCCTCAGGAGTTCCCGCAAGAATGTAGCACTCTTTCAAGTGATGTAAATTCTTTGTACCACCCTGGAGTAGGGACTCTATGTGTTTGTGTTTATTAAGGGTTTGTAATCTTTCTCTTGATCGGACTAATATATTCAGCAAAAGTAGATTTTAAGGTCATCCATATTCCCTCATTAAAGCAATCTTCGACATGAAGTAGACGTTTTTGTGAACTCAGGAGACAGCAAAGGATGCAGTCTATTGACTGTTATATTCAATCATATGTGTTGAAATAAGAACCAGAGTTAATATTAGCCTTTGCAAATAATCAATTATCAATCAATAAATCAATAATATCAGCGAACAAATGTTTCCACGCATGTTTCCAAGATCACTTGTAAATCGGTTTCATCCATAACTCTCTGTCCCACAAAAGAAATTCAAGTTATAGAAAACAATGATATATGCCCAGCTCTCCTTTATGGATCAGAAACTTGGAAAATTAGTTTAAAAAGATTAAAAGAAAATTTACAACTACACCACTGTATGTTATGTAACATAGTATTTGAAAATAAAGTACCGGTACTGTGGAAAATCTATGGACATATAACAAACTATGGACATATGGAGATGGTGAGCACAAGGGGATTGGAGAAAATAAATGTCAAATGATCAGATTGGCAGGGCAATGTTGACTGAAAAGTATTAAAAACAAAACCTTGATGGAAGACTAATCCTAGGAAGATCTAAGCCGAGATGGTGGATATGGTGAATATGGAGAGAACTGGTCACTGGAGCAGTGGATGAAGATGAAGAGGACCAGAGATAACATAGCGGAGATTTGTTTGTGCCGCTAAATATCATCTCCATTATAAATTACCACCGGGGTAGGTAACTTTGTTAGAAATTGTTGTAATGATAACAAAGAAGCACCTCTAGCTGCTATAACTATAAGTATATTATTATAAACTACCTACCTTTATTTTTATCTTCAAAAGTTTGTAATTAGGCCTACCTTAGATTGAAGCTTAACATTTTGAACGTTTTCAAACGTCCAATCAATAAAATATATAACACATTTATTACTTTACAATATTAATTAATAGGCCTACTGTTTTTTAGTGTGTGGTTGTTTATTAACAACAAATTGTGTAAGTATTCACAAAAATCGCGGATAAGTAGCAAAATAAATCAGATCTATTTAAATAGTCCAATAATGGGTGCCCAAGATTCAAGAAAGGGGTAAGGGGGCTATATCTGCTAAGAAATAAACTAAATTTAGAATTTTACTAAGCTTTGAAAGGTTTAACACAGTTGAATGCTGGAAAAATAATTTGTGAATAGTCATAATTAAAGTATATAACTTAATCAGTGGTGTAGTTGGGTAGGAACTAGTGGGAATGGTGTTCCCAATCTGCTGTTTCAAAAGAACCTATATCCTTGGTAAGCAACCTGTATGTTCTGTGAAAATGGTGAGGTACCGTACCAAGTACCAACTCTGGAAAATTTACAACTACACCACTGTATGTAATGTATTACACAGTCATAAAAAGAGTTAAAGTAATAGGAAACTCCAAAGACGGTTCATAGGGGGGGGGGGACTACAGAGGCTAACGCCCCCATTGGACCCTATAAAAATGAATCTAAACTTATATTTCATTCTAGAAACATAACGGAGCTTTTTTATACAGTTTTAGACATTAAAAACAAATTTAGAAAATCATCAAACGGCTTAAAAATTGTTGGGAGTAGAGCCCCTGGACCACTGGACCCCCATTTTTTTCTACACCCCCAAACCCTCCCTCCATGGTCGCCCCCCCTTAACAAGGCCCTTTAACCACCACCGGGAACCTCAATATATAATTAGTATTTTTTATAAGGCTCTCTATTAGACAAGTAGTTACTGTATTTTTTCAAGTTGACAAAACTACTAAAAACAATGTTATAAATTTAGCTAGTGAATGAGGGGCTCTGGTGGCTGTACGGTGTTAGTTGAGAGCTTCGCCGCCAGATCGCAGTGAGGGAACACCAGACCACGCTACCGCCAGCTGGGAACAGTGACAATCAGTGAGAGAACCAGTAACCAGTTGCTGTGAGACCTCCAACCGCGTAAGGCGTAGTCGTAGTGCAGTGAACGTCGCAACTAGTTGTCGGCATATCGAACCCATTATTGGATTAATCTGGATAATTTGATCAAGGTAAGCTTTGAACACTTTCAAGACAGGACTTGTTTATGTTTAATACTACCCCTTGCTGTTTTAATATTTTTAATTAAACAGCTGTCTTTGGCTTCTAATAACTACGTAAACAGGCACGATAAGTTGATGTTATTGTGACAATATAATACTTTATGTTTATAAAATCCCGACCGGCATTCAGTGTGGTTTGGTCTGTTGTTTGCCAACGCCGCACTGGTGCACCGTGCACCCTCATAGTTTAGTCCACCCCATACTCTTCAATCAAGCCATTCAACAGCGCCAAGGGGGGGAAGGGGTAGTAAGTGGTCGTATTACACCGTTTAACCGTTGTTACTATAAATTAACAACACAGTACTATTTTGTCATGTACTGTAATAAATAGACCACATGGGTTGATTTGGTCTAATCTACTGGACATTTTTATGATGCTTTGTTTAAACAGTTTAGATGAAAGCAAACCTGAGTCATTTATTATGGGAAATTGGTACTATTTTGAGAAATAATCATCATCAGGAGAGAAACTTAAGTTGTTTTGTCCTTGTTATTTGACAGACATTCCTTCCCGGGTATTCCTTGTAAAAATAGCTAAAAACAATACCGGTAATGATGATAAAAATTCACTGTGTAGGTAATGTTTGTCAAACTTTCGTGTTGGAAAACAATAATACTAACTAGGCTACATAATTTTAAGTACCGGTAGTCAATTTTAGTTAGGCTACCTATTTTATTTACACAGGTAAATAAATATAGCCTAAGCCAAAATATTGAATACCTTGGCAAAAAATGAGGTAAACTTACACTGTTTAGTTTGGTACCCTACTTTTAGTTGCAAGAAAATTATTATTGTAATGTACATTTTTGCACAAAAACAGGATGGATTATAATGCCACTTATTGTCATAAAACATTTCAGCATTAATAAATTTTACATGTAGCCTAACCTAATTGTAATTTATTATATTATGTAAAATAACAAGATTCACACCAGCCCCATAACTCTTAAATAAATTTTAAATAAACTGAAACATAGCTCGAGAGAGAGAGTTATAATTTATTGGTGGCTAGTAAGATACATAGTCAAACGTTGCTACAAAATCAATAATAATTGCTCTTTAATGAATTAAATTATATCGCTGTATTGAACTTGTTTGTCTTATGACACAATAATAATGTCAAAGTAATTGAAATAAAACTGTAAGAAACTATAAACATTTTAAAAATCAATTTTTTACATAATAAACCTGCAGCGCTGATGAGCTAGCAATGCCAAGGTTTAGGTAGCCTATACTGTTACGTTACTGGGCACGTTACGTCAGCAGTGACCAACGACCAGCGTCGGACACCTTTTGTGTCTCATGACTGTACCTGCAGCCCTGCTGAGCTAGCAAGGCCAAGGTTTAGGCATAAAGTGCTACGCCAGGACAAGGCACGTTGCGTCAGCAGTGGCCAACGACCAGCGTCGGACACCTTTTGTGTCTCATGACTGTACCTGCAGCCCTGCTGAGCTAGCAAGGCCAAGGTTTAGGCATAAAGTGCTACGCCAGGACTAGGCACGTTGCGTCAGCAGTGGCCAACGACCAGCGTCAGACACCTGTTGTGTCTCATGACTGTACCTGCAGCCCTGCTGAGCTAGCAAGGCCAAGGTTTAGGCATAAAGTGCTACGCCAGGACTAGGCACGTTGCGTCAGCAGTGGCCAACGACCAGCGTCGGACACCTTTTGTGTCTCATGACTGTACCTGCAGCCCTGCTGAGCTAGCAAGGCCAAGGTTTAGGCATAAAGTGCTACGCCAGGACTAGGCACGTTGCGTCAGCAGTGGCCAACGACCAGCGTCGGACACCTTTTGTGTCTCATGACTGTACCTGCAGCCCTGCTGAGCTAGCAAGGCCAAGGTTTAGGCATAAAGTGCTACGCCAGGACTAGGCACGTTGCGTCAGCAGTGGCCAACGACCAGCGTCGGACACCTTTTGTGTCTCATGACTGTACCTGCAGCCCTGCTGAGCTAGCAAGGCCAAGGTTTAGGCATAAAGTGCTACGCCAGGACTAGGCACGTTGCGTCAGCAGTGGCCAACGACCAGCGTCGGACACCTTTTGTGTCTCATGACTGTACCTGCAGCCCTGCTGAGCTAGCAAGGCCAAGGTTTAGGCATAAAGTGCTACGCCAGGACTAGGCACGTTGCGTCAGCAGTGGCCAACGACCAGCGTCAGACACCTGTTGTGTCTCATGACTGTACCTGCAGCCCTGCTGAGCTAGCAAGGCCAAGGTTTAGGCATAAAGTGCTACGCCAGGACTAGGCACGTTGCGTCAGCAGTGGCCAACGACCAGCGTCGGACACCTTTTGTGTCTCATGACTGTACCTGCAGCCCTGCTGAGCTAGCAAGGCCAAGGTTTAGTTGTATTTGAATAGAAGAGCTCATATGATGTAATTTAATGTTAAATTTGCACACTAGAATAATAATTAGTAGGCCTACTGTAGTATTTTTGTTTTGTTTTCGGCAAAAGCCATTCCATAGTACAGTCATAAAATGTTTGACAGTAACGAAAGTCGTAAGATCTAAAAATGAGTGAAACTTTCAGTTCCTAACATTAAATCATTACATTTTTTTAACTGGATCAAAGTTGCTTGCAATAATTCCAAGTTTATCGTTTTGGTATTTGAGAGTTCGATGGGAAAACTGGTTCAGTGTTTCGAACAGGAGAAAGTTTAGCAAGCTTATGTCTAGCTTGATAAATTCTAAAAGCGACCCTTATACGCTCGTAAATAATTGTTACGGCCACAGTTAAAAATCGTAAAAAATGTCGTTATTGACGAAATAACGGTATTGTTAGTAAAAAAAGGGCACGGGGTCTGCGGCCGCGGTGGTGGTGTCGGGTGAAGCGGCTTTACTTTTGTTTGGTGTCAAGAGCCAGAACCGGTTCCCCAGATGTCTGCCGTGATCGTGGACTACTTGCTGCTTGCTGCTTCTCCATTCCATAAACGTACCCAACTTTCCTGACGATTCTCGGAATTGCCTTTTTAGGTCTATTCGTTTCTCTCTATGCCATGAATAGCTTATTTTACTTGAACATACTTTACGCAAATTTTCATAGAACTTGAACATGTATTTCTAGTCGTATTGGGATATTAAGCTTAAATCTTCGTGACACTACTAACAAAATAAGAAAACTGTACAGCCCGCTCACTTTATCTCCTCTGAAAAATCTCGTTTGATTAAAATAATCTTTGCTTGCATGAATTCAAAGAAAATGTTCATTGACTCTGGGTTATATTATCTATGCTCTGATACAGTGCCATGTAGTATTTCACCGTGCAAGCATAAAAACTGTTCCAAATGTTTTGCGACGGACACAGTCGAATCGACAGAGACAGAAATTCCAAGCGGTGAGAAAATTACCGCACCAGAGAAAGTAAACGGGTGGCAAGCTACCAACAGAGAAAGCCGTAATTGAATCAGCACCGATTTTTTTTACTATAGTCAGGTGTCCATCACGAGAATACCGCATACGACATTCCAGTGGTAGTAATCCTATTACCAAGAGATCGCCATTCACCAGTCAGGCGACGCTCCACAACCTCACGTCCAGCGCGTCCACTCGCTTCTCACGATGGTTCTAATTATCGTTGTCAGCAATTAAGCCTATCCCATCCCATCCCCATCCGTGGGAATCCTCGTCTTTCTCGTCCTTATGTACCTTAACTGTTAGGTACCTTCTTTCAAAACACGATAATAGTCAACCAACAATCATAAAAGAGATCGATAAAAAAATAATATGCAGCCTTTTACTTGTGTAATAATTTTAGTTAAGTATGTGCGTTAAACGAGAACCTTGATATTATCTTGAATAGTTCAGTAGTGTACATTTTGTCTAAATCAACCTCTTGTAGGGTTGTAGCCTGATACAGTAGCTTCCTCTTAGCTTTAATATAAGTGAATATGCTCGTACATTTCATATTCTGTTGTATACAATAGTATTTTTCCTTTAGTTTGTCAATACTTATTTTTAAAATGTACCTAAAAGAGACCTAATCGTCTGTTACTTAATTTATCTAGACTCCCTTAATTACAAAGTAGCCATAACTTACTTATTGTAGAATGTAACGTAACCTACGATCTGGTAACCGTTGTACAGCGGTGGAGGGGGGGGGGGGCTAGAACAGTAGGTCACCTGTCAGTCACAGAGGTCTGTCTAGTGCTAGTGTCTAGTCGTCATTCCTCATCTCGCCATGGGGTGACATAACTGGCTACGAACCACTTACCTCTGGCTCTGGTATACTTCTTAAATATTTGTATTCAGTACTTGCAGTCAAAATAACAACTCATGTCTTAACAGGTGTGCATCTTCCAGAACTAACCACACAGCCATAATAATGCCAATTAACTATCATAAGTTGTCATTACGTATATGCATTGACTATATATACCTACATATAATCAATGGTATAGGATATGAGTTTTAAAGATACAGTTTTAAAGTGTGGCCTTCCCATTCAAAAATTTTAAAATAGTTGTTGTTTAGAATATTGTAATTAAATGTCAACGCTAGAATCTTTCTTTGTCTAGTGCAGAAACGAGAAACGACATGCCATTTAGTTTATCCAGCTTCAGGAAAGCCAATGGATCAAACAGTACCACAGTCGAAAGTGAATAGAAGATAAGACTGAAAATTGTAGATGGATTAATAAGAACGGAAGAAGTTAAGGAATGTAACCGGACGATAGGATGGCTTGAGGCTTGGGAACCGGTCTTCGGGCCGGGGCCGGGGGCGTTGTCAGTTGGACAGGCAACGAGGCAACAACCCAGCCAACCACATCGGGGTACTCCAGCTGGTATGCGGCCTCATACCTACTGTATAATATAGACATGCACCTATTGTCTCGACGCATATTATAGAATGATGCTGTATAATGTGTTAACATCAATCAACCAATCCTAACCAACTAAATAATTAATTAAAGCCCAAGTGTTGGAATGTCAACCTCCCCCGTGTAAGAATATGTTA